GCAGGACCTCAGAAAGTGAGGCATCCCCCTTTGGCAGTCACAAACTGGGAAAGACTGGAGCAAGGTGAGGACAGAGCTCAGGAGCGCTTAGTCTGTGCTGCAGATACAGAAAAGATCTCTCTCTTACATCTGTTCATGCATGGAAAGAGAAATGAGCTGCTCTCTGCCGTACAGGGAATCTATTTTTTTCATGTCCTTAAGTGCACTGGAGTAATGTATTTTCCATGTTACTTTTTTCAGCTATCACTGAGAGACACGTCCCTGAATCCCATTAGTGGGTACGTCCCGTTAAAGTGCTACAGTGAATTGCTAAACATGTTTTATAAATTAGCTCATCCAAAAAGCCCTGCTACCCAGCCCCATTCTGTGATGAGGCTTCATAACAGCAGAAAACCCATGAGATGACTTGAACAGAGGAGAAAACAAAAAAAAAGCATAGCGTGGTCTCCCAGTCAAGGTACTGAAACAGATGAACGTGATTCACCCCCGTCAGAGAGGCCAACTGAGCACCTACATGCCTTGCTGCAGGCATCTAACTCTGTTACGAGTCCACCCCTCTCCATTCTTCGCTTACGCCTTCACTCCCGACACACACACCTGAGAATTCCCACTGCCTCGGTGACATTGCTCGTGCAGCTTCAAGCCAGATTTCAAGGCAACAGTCCCCCTGCGATTCCCAGGCGGTGCTATGGGATTGATTCCCACACCAGTGGCCAGGTTTCTTGGCACTCAGCAGCTGCAATCAAGCACTGGCTTTTCACAAGAGTTTAGCATCTTCCACACGCCCGGCATGTTAAGCTCCCTTGCCTGGAAATCCAATTCCAGCCTTAAGTTCCTTGTGCTTCAGCTTTGCGTGTTCAAAATAAGGACACCAGCTCCTCTTTCCCCATCTGCCTCATGTCTCAACTCAGAGGACCTCACTCGCTTCTGCTGGCTGCAGAAGCAATACCCAACCCCGTTTGGGGGCTGAGCCCACTGGGACCAGTTAGCTAACCTCCATTCTGTTCGTACCTCTCTGGATCCCCACTCTCTTTTTTTGTGCCTTTAGAGTAGCCCACACAAAGGGGCCTGTGTTGGTCCTTTCTGGGCTATCATAGCAAGAATAACTCACAGTGGCAACACTAAGGCGTATATTAAAAACCCCTGATGCCACCACCTCTCTTGATACACAATCTACCGCCCTGATGGGATCGATCTTTGTTTGACAATCCCTATGCTGAAGCCCTGCAAAGGAAAACAACCCTGCACCGGTCCAAGTACACTGCAGCAGCCCAGCACCCAAAAAAGGGGAGAGGGAGAAACCTCAGTGGGACCCTGCGCCTGATTCATCTGGCAATCACCGCACCTCCGGATAGCTGGAATTTGCTGTGAATTTTTCATGCTAGAATCAGCTGTGTGCTGCAGGCACATAGCCGAATGGAAAATAAACCTGAAATATTAATGATCCACTGCAGAGCGCAGGCAGGCAGAGATCTATAAATGAGGACAGGGAACCTTAGGTACCCTGGTGGAACTGCTCTCTTTTTGTCCGAAACACAGGCGAATTCAAATGAGCCTGCGCTGTCCCGGAGGCACTGGGGGGGAAGAGCGCTGGATGCCAGGTTTTGGGGTGTTCACCAGTTGCTCTGTGTACCGCACTGGGAAGCCAGGCTAGCTAAAAACCTTCCAGGTTGTCACCGGAGCTTCTCGGCCGCAGCTTGGCCTGGATTAGCACAATGGCTGCCAAAAGTCGGCTCCTTCCTAACCGCGGGCCCGAGCAGCACCAGGGCA